CATAAAGCTGGTGTACTTCAGCAGAGCAGTCCCGCGTGCTCTGTGCTGCAGTCGGGCTCTCGCGGCTTCGGCTGGAACAGGAAGTGTAGCTCCACAAACTGCGCATGTTCACGCAAGGCCTCTCGCTATGTAAGGATGACACCGAGCGCGGGCTAAACGGTAAGGCCGGTCCGGCGCACTTCACGCTCTCAAACGTAACGGATAAACACAACCGCGCAGCGCGGATCTTCGACGGCACGTCGCCTAGAAGTGTTCGCGACTCGGGCGGCGGCGAATGGCGGAGGAGCGTCTCGTCGTGTGTGTGTGCGTGCCGCCGCACGGGAGACGTCATGAGAACAGAGCACCGCGGCGCGACGCCAGCGCGTCATTACGGCCAGCGAACACTGCGTGAAGTAGCTGCGCTCGACGTGTTTGCGAATGTGCTGTTTATTTGTAAACACACATTCGCCCCCAAACAAACAAACAAACAAACAGTGCGGGTTAGCATAGCGCGTTAGCATCACGACCAGCGGACGAGTGAGAATGAAATGGCGCAACGTGAAGGGCTAATATGCTAACCGAATTAGCCGCCGAAGAACCCAACACTCGCAAGAAGTGCAGTCGCTTAGAAACATTCACCATGGCAACCAACATAGTTTCCGCCACAATACCATAGTTACGCCAGATAGTGTTACTGCTGTTAAAGCGTGATAAATGTACACGAGATCGCTCTCAGACACTGTAGTAATGTTTTAGTTTGGCAAATTATTTTTTTGACGACATGTGGTGGCTGATAAAAACCACTATGGTATTGTAGTAGAATATTTTCTTACCATGGTAAATGGTAGTGGTGTCATGACAGTACAGTAATGGTTTCAGATAGTTACACCACGTTACTGTGGTATTTACTTACTCCAACGCAATTCAGAGTATAGCATGGTATTACCGTGGTATCATTTCCAAAAACCATGCTATGTCCAGATGACCGCTATCATTAGTCTTCATTAGACAGATGAGCAATAACTTGATACATTTACAAATAAATAATAACAGCATTTGAAAATATATTTTCGTTTTTTATTTTTTATTGTTATACATTTATGCTGCTTTTGATACGGTGAACCACCAGATCCTCCTGTCAACCCTATTGGAAAATGGCATCTCAGGAACCGCATGCCAGTGGTTTGAGTCTTACCTCTCAGATAGGTGTAAGATTTATTTTAGATTAGATTAGAACGAGCTGAAAGGAACGCACGTCACACCTCTGTTCATCAATTTGTACTGGCTACCAGTAGCTGCTCGCATTAAATTCAAGGCATTAATGTTTGCCT